TCCAAACTCCATAAATGGAACACACAAGAAACAGGAAACTAAATCTATATTTAAGATTATATAGGGAGACCAAGGAATTCACGTTTCTTTATCTAGAGAGGAAAATTACTAAAAGCAACAGCAAATTCAGGCGGTGTGTGTAAAAGGTAATTCGTTCCCTTAGTCTCACAGCGAATTTGATGGATGCTCACCCGCCCACCCCCGATTTTAAAAGCATATTGTTTGGCTATTTGAACGGTCTTGTTGTCTAGTACCTTGCAGATATGTTGTCAATCGTCTTTGAGCTTAAATGAGCTTTCCTTAAGAGTACTGGCCCTATTGGGTCCCCCAACCCGTCTGATAGCTGCTGCGGAGAAGAGCACATACAGAAGCCTCCCTTCCTTTCTTTTCTCGCTCGCTGGGTACCTGTTAGCCAGCGTCCTCTCCCTGCCACCAAGCACTGCAAAATTTTATCTCCAAAGATATTACACAGCCTTATGCCAGCCTGAAGTAAAGTTCCAACTAAACCCACTTAATGCTCCTGCCTAAATATTAATTTGCTGCTTCCTTTCGTCTTTGTCTTACTTCACGGCTTTTTCTCCTACGGGATTCTGAGAAACCCAAGGATATAATTCTTGAAACGTTTCATATTTTTCTGTTTGTTTACTCACATTTTGTTCTCTATTTCCAAGACCACGAGAATAAACTATTCCTATTAAGAGCTATGGCTCAAAGTAAGCATACCTGCCCCCGCACCTCCCTCACCTCCCCGAGGGTCTGTGGTAGCATCATGCCCAGGACTTATAATGTATGACACACTGAATTACTATCATTTGTTTTCATGTCTGCTCTTAGCAAATGACGGTAGGAGCCACAGTCTGCTGGTCTTGAAGGCCAGGCATATTTCAAAAATATATTTTCAAAAAATGCCTGGTAGTCTAGGGCAGTTGAGGACCTACGTCAGAATTTAAACTTTGTCACCTAACTAACTCTACTCTAGGAAAATCCCTTAATTTCTTTATCTGCAAAATGGGATTTCTTCACTATCCAGCTGAAGGCATTGGTGTGAGGATCAAAATGGCTAACATGCATTTTCTACACTTCTCTCCATGAAGTAAGTTATTATTATTAGGTCCTTAACCTAAGAAGTTTGTAGTTTCTTTGGTACATTTTTAGAAAGACAAGCTTGGATTTTCTGGGGAATATTCCTGACTCTCATGACATTCCTTTAACTCACTTTTTGGGATGACCCTGCTATTGTTTACACAGTTGTTTCATGGTTCTGAAACATGTGGTTTTTAAAAATTAACTCCAAGCTGTAAGACCATATTCTACACAAACTATTCCCCAAACTGGTTTAAAAAAAAAAAAAAAGAAGAAGCTGCTTTTATGATAAATTCAATACCAGAATAATGTCGTGCTTGTACGCAGTTCATTATTCCTTCAGAAACCAGGGGAAGCAGATCAGGGCTTCTAATAGCCAAGAGTGATGCTCAAAAATTCTTCAGTGTCATATCACTTTCAATTCACCCAGTGAGAACGTGGCTAAAATGAGACTTTGTATTTTGTCTGCGCAGAGTTCTCTCTGTGACAACTTGCTACCAGCCACATTAGAATAGATGCTCATTCATCAAGGCAGGTCAAAATGTCAGCTTTCTCACTCTGGGTGCTCCTTTGTAGCAACTAGAAGGACGGCAGGCAGGCAGCAAACACTAAGCATGTTTTGCTGTGCAAATGCCGAAGACCTTGTGAGGGGTTCCCTTTGGTGGGAGGACATACAGGATAATGGTTCAAAGAATGGCTTCTGATGTTACTCAGACCTGAGCTCACATGCTTATTTTGCTTTTTTATAAATTTTGTAACTTCTGAGCCTTTTTTTTCATCTGTAAAATGGACACACGCCTACTTCTGTAACAGGCATAATACAATTGTTATAAGAATAAATGGAGGACATTGATCAGCACAATGTAGGTGCTCAATAAAAGGTACTTATATTACTTGTAATAACCACTGACATTATTAATTATAACGATATGAATCACATTGCAATATCAATTACATTAATAACAATAATAATACAGCTTACGCTTGGTAGGTGCCGATCTAAGAGCTTACTAGTATTAATTCATTTCATCAACACGCTCTGGTGGGACTACTGCTGCTCCAGGTTTACAACTGAGACCCAAGGAGATCAGGTCAATTGCGTACGGGAAAGGCACACTAGGATTTGAACTCAGGCTATTCAGCTTTGGAAAGAATTCTTCACCACCATCCCATACCACAGATGCTTTTCTGCTCAACGAGAATGCTGTGGACACGGTGTTTTAGTGAAATGAGGGACAGTTCTTTGGATGGTGCAAGAAAGAACAGTGTATCGCCTTACTGTGGCTTGTCATAGGTTATATGCACTTGACACGCATAGCGGGAGTATGCGTCCACTAGATGGCATTGTTGTTTTAATGAAATGTGAACCAAGTCGCTACTTCCGTTCAGGGGCCTGATAAATTTGCCAACAGCAGCAGGACAAGCCAGGTGGATCCCTGAAAGTCTGATGGAAGGAACCCCCCGACTTTACAGCTCGGCTAGAGATCTCTAAAGACTAATGGTACCAAGAAATAATCAGAAAAAATACATGCTAGTTTTTATCTGGGTGTTGATATCTATAGAAAATCTGGATGAGTTTTGCAATCATCTTGTCCAAACTCATCAGTTCATAAATAAATAGACAGAGGGCCAGAGAGGAAAAGTTACTGGGAGACGGAGGTCCAGACTTGATGGCTCTGGCTGTAGTTCTCTTTCCCTAATACTTCCGACTGATTCTAAACCACAAAGGAACTGTGGTTTCTGAATTCTTAGAAGCCTTTCCTTTGGGGGTATGGGACAGAGGACTGCCCAAAAATAAAGAGTTTTTACCTACGTTTTATATGTATGTTCAAAATCAAGACCAGACTCAGATACTTAGATATGAAGGAGGATAAAAGCAAAAAATGGTGCCCATTTCTTTTTCTTTTTAATATGTCGACTTGGAAAGACTGAGTGACTGTACTTTATTTACTTTAACATTTTTTTTCAGAAAGGGAGAAAAGGAAGAGGGGCAGAGAGAGAGAGATTCTTAAGCAGGCTCCATGCCCAGCGTGGAGCCCGATGTGGGGCTAAATCTCACAACCCTGAGATCATGACCTGAGCCAAAATTCAGAGTTAAAAGCTTAACTGACTGAGCCTCCCAAGCACCTGGAGTGACTCCACTTTGAAAGACTGACTTTCTGGCTGACAGTGCAGTTTGTGGATATTAAACCCAAGCAGGTAGCAGAGTAATGGATAAGCAAAAGGACTGGAATCAGACTGCCTAGATGGAACTGAAAAACCTGGGAAAAGCCACGAGACACCCCTAAGCCTCTGTTTCCACATCTGTAAAATGGGAATCATATTTTTACTTATGAGGTGTTTGTGGAAATTAAATGCATGTAAAGTGCCTATGACACAGTTAAAAAGCCAAGGTTAAGGGTGGCGATGATCGTGAAGGTTTTTGTCACGATGGCTGATGCTTAGTCGTCTGTGTCTCTCGGCTATGAATGTCGTTGCAGGTGCTTTGTCAACAACTTCCTTACCGTCACACGCTAAACTGCTAAAAGGAGAGATAAGGTTTCAGGTTTTATAACTGCGTAACATCGCTCCTTCCTCAACCAGATGGTGGAAGTAGCCAACATACATATGGCCTGGACTTCATTATGTGTGCACATCAGCTTTATTTAAAACACTCGTAGGCTTGGGGCTCCTACTCATAGTTTAGACAGAGAAGGTGACTGGCATGCAAATAATAACCATTGAACACTTGCTGAGTGTCGAACATTGCTCTGTTTTGCAAGTATGAACTCATTTAATTCTTACTACAACCGTGTGATCTAGGAACTAATACTTTTCCCTTTATAAAGATGAGCAAACTGGGATCCAGAAACTTGCTCCAGCTTAAATAATAAGCCAGAGTCAGCACTGGAACTCAGGTGGCCTGGGGCTTAGTGACCCTCTCAAGGCAGGACGTGAGCAGGCGTTTCCTCCAAGGCTCCAGAGGCCCAGCTTGCTTCCCTCCCACCCCCCATACCTAAGACCACAATAAAGTCGGATGGAGCCACTGTCTGGGTAGCTCTTCTAGGCTACTGTTAACGGGCAACTTCGTGACCCAGGAGGCTCATGTGAAACCTACATCAATATTTCTATGGCAGTTAGTTAACGAGATCCACTGGTTAATAGACTCCTGAGCTTAACAGGGTAAAACAAAGTTGTAACAGGTCAGAAGGGAGCATGGCTAGGAGAGCGCACTTTCGAGGACCACTCCCTAAGGGATCAAAGATCATCGCAGCCGCAGCCGAAGGAGGTCCGTGCCTGTAACTCGCCCTCTTCCCGGTAACTTACTGGCTGCTCATACGTTCTGTAACATTCCAGACTCCCCTCTTTCCACGCCAGGAATTCAGACTCTCTTCCCATGCAGAATTCTTGAATTCAGACTTACAAGAGACACAGATCTTTACGCAGGTCTCTGGTCTACTCCTCTGCTTTTAAAAAGAAGGAAATGGAGGTACTGTTTGCTTCTGGTTTGTCCCAAGTTATCTTACAGGACGAGTTGGAGCCCTGTTCATTCAGGTATTACAAACTGCTTCTACATCCTTTAGCTATTTTATTTTAAATAGCATCACTCTGAATACTTGCTGAAATCCTCGTTTATGCCAATAACATTTTTCCTTCAGTGATGAACCCAAATTCAACAGAGAGCACCTTTATACACAGCACCTTCCTGTTGGTCATGTCCTCTTTCTTCCTTTGCCCAGCATCAAATTTTGTGGACTGGGAGACCAATGACATTTATCACAAAAAAGATTTTTAACTCAAATAGCGTTTTTCACTAGAAGCCATGCACGCAAGCCATCGAACCTAGACCCGCAACCATGACCACACTACGCAGGACCAAGACGACGGACTTCAGAGCAGAATTGCCAAAAAGGAGCTGGGAGGCGACTCCCACTTACCGATTTCGGTCATCGTGATCCCTGGCGATAGCTGCCCGTTGTTGAAAGAGCTATAGGTAAACAAGTTGGGTACAGACGTGAGGTCATAGATGGGTTCTTGCTTTATCTGTTTGATTCCAGTCATGTCAAGTCCAGATTGATCTGGGGACGGCTGGCCGGAATCCACGCTGTAGTAACCCTCGGACTTGGGCAGGTCGATGACGTGTCCATTGGCGTAAGTGCCCCCCGCCTCGCTGCTCAGGCTGCCAAGGCCGTTGCTGAGGCCGCCGCCGTACACCCTGGCCAGCGCCTCGGCCTCCCCGCTCTGCTGCTGCCGCTGCTCCTGCAGCCGCTGCTGGTGCTTCTGCACCTCCGCATACAGGCTGTCCCGCTGCTTCTTGGACATCCTGCCGAACTTCACAGCTGTGGGGGAGGGTGAGAGAAAGGCAGGAGAGAGGCTTGGCGTTATCATTTCGGCAAGTCCAAGGGGTCCTGGGTCCTTGTCCCCTCCACATCGATGTGCAGAATCCCAGCACCCGGACGCCCAAGAGTGCCTTCACCTGCCCCCCGCATCTGGGGAAAAGTCAGACTAGGGAGGGTCCGTCCTGGTTTAAAATGTGCATAGTGAGAAATAAATCTAAGCTTCGAAGAAATGTCCAAACTTACGTATGTATCTCTTATTGCCATGAAGTTAGAAGGCATAGTTCCTGGTTCTTTCTTCTGTGCAGGGGAAAATCCACAAACCAAAAGCTACCAAATAGCGCCTGCTTTTAAAATGTCAACCAAGGGGCGCCTGAGTGGCTCAGCGGGTTAGAGCCTCTGCCTTTGGCTCAGGTCATGATCCCAGGGTCCTGGGATCAAGCCCCGTATCCGGCTCTCTGCTTAGCGGGGAACCTGCTTCCTCCTCTCCCTCCTGCCTGCCTCTGCCTTCGGCTCAGGTCATGATCGGCTCAGGTCACGAGCCCCACATCGGGCTCTCTGCTCCACGGGGAGCCTGCTTCCTTCTCTCTCTCCCTGCCCACCTCTCTTGCCTACTTGCAATCTCTGTCAAATTAATAAATAAAATAAAATAAAAAAAGAATTTATAAAATTAAAAAAAAAATGTCAACCAATATTCTTTCTTAGCTTCCTGGGCTAAGCACTAGGGTTACTAGATTGTTGGAGAAGACCCTATTATTTCACATTTTTAAAAAATATATTTTATTTATTTGTCAGAGAGAGAGAGAGAAAGAGCACAAGCAGGGGTGGGGCAGAGGGAGAAGCAGGTTCCCCACCGAGCAGGGAGCCCGATGAGGTACTCGATCCCAGGACCTGGGGATCATGACCCAAGCTGGAAGCAGATGCTTAACTGACTGAGCCACTCAGGCATCCCATATTTCACATTTTCTAAACAGCACAGTTGGTGAGACCAAGGATAATAAGCACCATTTGAAGTAAGCATTTGACTTCAGTTGGCTTTTGGGACCAAATTCAGTCTTTGGAAAACAGAAGTTTTGTATACCCAGTGCTTGGCAAGTGAGCCCACCGTTATCCTTCCTTTCTTGTTCTACCACCCCCAGGTTTTATACTGCCTATCTCTTCAGGAAAAACCCTGAGCCGTTGTAAGGAAAAAGAAGGAAGAGGCTCTGTAAGCGGTCACAGAATGATCTGAGGGTGTTTTGATCTGAATTCACGGTTTCTTAACTAGAAGAGCTTAACCTCCTGAACTGCTGGGGATATTGACAGTTTTCCTCACAAGCGAGTATTTGAAACCAAGGGACCACCTTGTCTGAATCCTCAGACACTGTGTCGTTCAGTTCGTGTTCATGGTGGGGACTGTGACAAACACGGAGGTTCCTCTCTGAGTTTCCATTTTCTTTTCTTTCCCAACAATGTTCCCATCACCTTTTTTCAAAGAAAATATTTTTATTTATTAATTTATTTTAGAAAGAGAGAGAGAACCCAAATGAGCAGGGAGAGAAGCAGAGGGAGAGGGACAAGCAGACTCCCTGCTGAGCGTGGAACCGACTTGGGGCTTGATCTCACCACCCTGAGATCATGACCTGAGCAGAAACCAAGAGTTAAATGCTTAATGGACCGAGACATCCAGACCCCACTCCCGCAATCACCTTTTGGTACTGGAAGCCCAGGGAATGTAGAAAGAAGAAAGTGGAGGGTAGAAGCAGGCCCAATTCCTGGATTTAGTCACTAGTGCTGGTGAACATAATTTCTGAGAAAAACTAAATAAGGAAGTGCTTAAGAACTCTCCAGAACAGAGAGTCCCCAGAGAGATACCTGCTGTGAAAGAGCTGCCATTTCACAACGCCCCCGTCCCCTGCCATGTTCCATCAATGTTCATTTTCTCCTTCTGTTGGTTACAGAGCTACCAAATTCTATCTAAGCGTTGGCTGTTCAGAATGGAGACCACATTTCCCAGCCCCCCTCACTGGCAGGTGCTGCTGTGACTAAGTTCTGGGTGGCAGGAAGTAAATGGAAAGGCTACATGTACTTCTGAGAGTGGGGACATGCTGTCTTCCTCCTTCCTGCCTGCTGGGAGGTTGTGGCTACGAAGGCTGGATTTAGAGCAGCCCAAATTTCCTGTTTCTCCTTAGTCCTCCTTAAAAGACTAAATTGTGGTGCTGCCTAAGCAGAAAAACAAAGGGGTAAGTACCCAGTAAGTTTTCTGACTGAAGACAATTCACATGTTTAATTCACACCAAATTCCCCTTTCCACCTCAACTGTCATTTTTATAGAGTCTGGAATCATTCAGATCACTGCACTTAATTTTGTTGGTAGAGACACCACTCTTTTTTAGATTCTGTATCTCAGACATACATTTATGTGCTATATTTCCAGTTTGTCCATGGACCAAATTCGAAAGAAAATTTTAGGGAAAGCATCCTGTGTACCTTTATACTGTATCTTTACAAATAATATATATAACATTTTAACTATAATTTCATAAATTTATTAATAAATTCATATATTTTATATAATATATAAATTCCTTTGGGAAAAACTTTTTTGTTTAAGAAAAAATAAACCGTGATAACTCTGGATTCAGGAAGAAGAACTTTTTCCCCCAAGAAATTAAGTGACACCCTTCTTTATTTGCTAACCTGTGCTTTGCATTCATGTAGGTTCAGAATAGCATTTATTACAGAGCTATGCAGATGGATAAAAAATTTCTATTGTTGTAGATTAAAATTTTATTTTGGCTGGAGTAGATCTACCTTTTTAATTTTTTTTTAATTTGAGAGAGAAAGAGAGGAAGAGCGGGAGAGAGCATGCAGGGTGGGGGTCAGAGGGAGAGGGAGAAGCAGGCTTTCTGGGGACAGAATTTCCCTGGGCAGGGAATCCCATGGGGCTGGATCCCAGGACCCCTGGGATCATAACCTGAGCTGAATACAGCTGCTTAACCGACTGAGTCACCCAGGTGCCCCATGGAGTATATCTACTTTCTGAGTTACTTTAGTAGAATACTTTTGTGTTTAAGATCTATAGAGGAAAAAAAATAAAAACTGGGGAGAAACTCCTCCATTGCGGAGACATAAATGCAACGTCTCTTTTTAAAACCCTTTCTGTTTAAACCTTGCTTCAGATTTCCATACACTCTGCCTTTAGGTGAAATATACATTGGGGTGGATTGATTGCTTTAATGACCCTGATTCTTCATACCTATTCCCAGGGTAAATGCACACCACCCTATCATTGTGGGCAAGGCCGCCCTGCCCTACCCACTTGCCACAGGGTCATGTGACTTGCTTTGGGCCAATGGGAGACTGACATGTGACAAACAGAGGCTTCAGAAGTACTTGTGTGACTGAATCATCTCACCAGGAAAAGGATGTGCCTAAACCAGCTTGCTAGAGGATAAGCTTTGCGAAGCCCCGCCCCAGTCTTCTGGGTCTTTCCAAACAAGGCTGTTTGCCTTTGGCAGAGGCACAGACTGACCTATAGCTGGAGGCAGATGAATGAGTGAACCCAGTTAAGACCCTACATTAAATAATTTTAGGTTCAGAAATGTGCTATTAACCACAGATCTCATAATCAAAGCGAATGAGGTCAAGTAAGTATGCTGTCCAGACCTCTGCCCTAGTAAACACCTGAAAACCCAATGGTGAATAGTTATGCCCTTTCCAGGTCACCAAACAAACCGAAATATTTTCAGAGACAACTTAAAGCTCTCCTACATTTTGGAATTATCTGGCTTCATCCTAAATCAAGAACTTCGCTGACAATTACTATAATACTATTTTAGAATAAATTTTCCATTTATTTCAGAAACACTGATGAGCTAGTATTTCAGTTTTGTGCCCCTTCCTGTAACAAAAGTCGTGCTATATTTGGGGGAAATGATCCTAGTACATGGAACAAGTAAATCTACTGAAAACTTTCCTGACAGACAGATGTATATTATACATATAAAAAATTCCTTGTCACCATTTGTAAAAGCGTTTGTTATATTCATAGGCCTATTTCTAACAAAGGCTGAATTACTATTATATTTTCAAGTATTAGCATTTTTCTTACCACTACTCATTAATCAGAATGGCACATATTTTAAGCATTTGCCCCTCTCAAACTTGAATTATTCTGTTAATGATTTTCACTTGAGTACAGAGGCAGCCACTTGTTAAACTGCTAGCTCTCAAACTCGCACGATTCTGTATACATCAGAGTGCTTTATAAATATTCAGTGATGATATTTGCTTATGATATGCTCTTATCACTCATTTTGATCCCATACTAGCAAAGAATAATTTTATGCAAAATATTGGGAATCTTTTCATATTTATTTAGATTGTGGGATTTTTTTTTTAAAGATTTTATTTACTTATTTGACAGAGACACAGTGAGAGAGGGAACTCAAGCAGGAGGAGTGACAGAGGGAGAAGCAGGTTTCTCACCAAGCAGGGAGCCTGATGTGGGGCTCGATCCCAGGACCCTGGGATCACAACCTGAGCCCAAGGCAGATGCTGAATGAGTGAGCCACCCAGGCGCCCCAGACTGTGGGATTCTAAATGGAACAGAAGTTTTTGGAATAATTATAAAACAAAGTCATCGATTCTTTGAAGATTTGTATTTACTAACACATGACATCTAGAGATGTGTTTTTGGCTTCAAGAGAACCCAATCGTAGAACTACCATAGTCATTTTGGAAATTATTTTATCTTACAATCTTTTGGTTGTAAAGTTCTCTATGCCTACATCTTGCTGCTTACCAAGGAAACCGGTCTTAATTTAACTCTTTTTAATTTCAAGGATATGCCTTTTTTATAGTGCTCTAAGCTTTGTAGAAAAGATCAGATTCAACCTACCCAACCCTATTCATAATTTAAAAATATTCTCTCTCCTCCCTCTCCTTTCCCAGCAGAACTTCCTGTGATGACTGAATGTTCTATATGCTTTCCAAGATGGTAGCCACACGCCACATGTGGCTACTGAGCACTTGAAATACAGCTCGTGTGAGTGAAGAAGTGAATTTTAAAATAAATTAAAAATTAATTTTAACAAATTTAAATTTAAACTTAAATAGTGACATGTGGGTACCATTCTGGATATTGGACAATGCCATTCTGGAGAAGGAGAAGCCTAATCTGTGATGCCTGTTCTTGTAGGGCAGCTGCTGCTTTTTCATTGATGGATGTCATTTAGGAGGTCACACGCCCAAATTATTGCAAGGTGAGTATCATCCTTTTTCTTTGGGGCCCCACACCTTCCTGCTGACACCAAGCATTTTTTTCTGGGTTTTGTTTGTTTGTTTGTAGTAGTATAATGGGAAACAGTTTATCCTGAAGACTCCTGAAACTAACGTTTGTGAAGGGCCCATTAAAAAGAAAAATAAATAAGAATGTGGAGAAGATTTGGTGGGCGTATACATGCTATCAACTCTCACACATATAAACATGCGTGCCCTCGCCTTTTTAGACACAGAAACACGTGTGTGTGCATGCCAAGTGGATTGGATTTTTGAGTCTTTACCCCAAATAAATTTGAACAAATTTGTTCCTGCTGAGTTTTTTTGTCTACTCATATATGTGCCATGGCTGCTAAACCATTATAGAATGGAAATTCAGGAATTAATGAAAATTCAGTGATTTTAACAGTTATATCAAACTATCCATAAATAGCCATGTTGCTTTGCTGACTAGGTATGGTGAAATAAACATTCTTGGTGCCATGTATAACTGACAGAAAGCAAACGCAAATATCAAAATGAAGATGGCACTTTCTGTCTGAAGGAAAATGGGCAAGGTGTATACAGAAAGAAGTTAGGTGTGAGGGCATCTTACCTTGGCTACTGGTACTACCACTAAAGGACCTTGAAAGTACTTGCCTAATCAGTAGAAGGTAAGTATAATAAATTAGTGGCATTTCTCATTCTTGAGTCCTTACTAGACATAGGTAATCAACTATAACTTTGGGGCTTTTGAAATCCACAAACAAGGCATTACATATCAACAGGAGATTAAACCTAGTCAGCTACTTTGGTATTAATATAATTTATTTGCTACAAAGTACCCTTTATAATCAAGGTTCAGATGAAACTTCCTCTATATAACATAGTCAAGAAGAATTGTTTTCCCTTAGAAAGAATCATCTTTTGCTTCTGCTGGAGCCTCATTCAAAATTATCCTTATTCCCAACCACTATACCCACTCCCGAGCATTTCTCCTCATCATTAGTTTGACATAAAACATGTTTAGGACATCTTTTTGAAGACATCTCTGGCTGCCTCAGGATTGTCTCTGGACCTAAAATTAAGGTGGATCGTTATTCTGAATTCCCAGTGTCTTTAAGACATTTTCATTGTATTGCTTTTACTTGCAAGTTTTTGTGCTGTGGTGAATTTCTTCCCCCTTGAGAGTAGATTGTGACTTTATCCATTAAATAACCCTTCCCCCCAACACATTTCTTTTATGCCATGGGATTCAGACAATCTCCTAGATTTTGAGAACTTTGGACCATATGCCTTTTTCTTGCCCATAATTCTGTTCACCACCATGGACTCCTAAGACCTGCCTTCCAAAAGAGGCACTTTCTTTTATTGTAGGAAGAAGTAACAAAGATAAATAACTAACGACTTATTTTTTTTGCACAATTATTAATATATGCTCTCCTTCATACACTATCAATTAATATGTTGCCTCACTATGGTGAAAATAAAATATAAAATCATCAACGCAAGTTCCCATATAATTTCACTAAATAAATCCTTAAAACTACTAAATCCCCACCCTCTACCTTCTTCACTTTAGTTATGTGGAAGTACACAGTGTAATCAATTTACCCTAGGAGTAAGCTACACAGTTAGCAAGTAAAACAAGCAAAAACAAGAAAAACAAACAAAAGCAAGAAAAAAAAAGCAAGAAAAACAAACAAAAAGTCAGTTAGTTAACAGAAGAGTTTTGGAAACTTACATCTCTGCAACTTTAGAAGCTACCTATAAACTGAAAGGCTCAAAGTCAGATTCTTTTTTTTTTTTTTTTTGGTCAAATTGGTCTCCTAGGTATATGTTTATGCAAGGCAAAGTTAGGTGTACTGGGAAGTAGAAAAAGATAAACAAAAAATTATAAGTATTTTGAGAACGCAAGCTAAGAACTGAGCAGTTTTTATGTTTAGATACCAAGACTCATGGAGAACTGATTTCATCCAAATGAGTAAAAGGCTCATGGTGATTTAATAACTCATAAAATCCCTTTATACCAACAGACAGTGCATGCCAGTTACCTGTATTTCTTTAAAATCTGGAAGCCTTCCTCCCTCCCTTCCTTCCATAGTACCTTGACCTTCATTAGGTGTGACCAGAGGCAGAGAATCCACAACAATTCACACACACAGAGAATAAGTACCAAGGGAACTGCCTGTGTGTCAGGCTCTAGGTAAAAGAGAATTCCATGGTTCATTCAATAAACATTTAGGTGCCTGCTTTTAACCAGACTCCGAGGATACAGTGAGAACAAGAGAGAAATGCCCCCAGGACTCAGGGTTGCTCACAACCTGATATAGGAGTGCTGTGGCCAATGTCACTGGGGAAATAATTAGTTGAGATGAGTGCTTAAAAATGAAAGCAATACTAGATGAAATTCTTTGTGTGAGTTTATTTGTCCTGTTTCATTAATCTGTGGAATTTAGCTGGGGACCCACCTGCCCCATTTGGGCTGTTTTATGAGAAGGACACCACCCGTACGGCCTTTTTTAAGACTTGGACTTCTGTTACAGCCTTTGCAATTTTCATGATGCTTTCCCAAAGTCCATGCCCAACAGCAGAACTTTGCTTCCTACAGACACGCAGGCCGTTCCTTAGCATCTGCAGGTACCAAGCAACCTATGCACCTGTCAGACTTACCCAGTGACCTAATGGTCCTGGTTTGCCTGAAACTGTCCCTGGTTTTGGCTCTGAAAATCTCACATCCTAGGAAACTGTTCCTGCACAGGCAAACCTAGATAGGATCCAACCTAGGCCTATGTGGCTCTCACCAAACCTTGTTAGCACAGTTTGCTCCACGAACAACAGGAAAGTCTTTCCTTTCTTCCTATTTCAGAGGCAATACAGTTTTTTTATACTTTCTTATCTTCTTCATGTACAACCAGCACATGGTTTTCTTTTCTTTTATCCCCAATTCCCTTTGTCTAGAATCCTTCCGGTGGCTTAAACAGACTCCAGCAAAGCATCCATGTGAAAGCCTTTAAGTAAGAAATAGGAACACAGTGTCTTACCATCTCTCGACATTCCTAGGGCAAGACACTTTTGCAGTCGGCAGTGCTGGCAACGGTTTCTGTTGGTTCTGTCGATTAAACAGTTTCTCTGCCGTGGGCAGGAGTAAGAGGCATTGTTTTGTTGGCTCCTCCTAAAGAATCCCTAGAAGCAAAAAGAGAAAGGGAGGGAGGTGGATCTATAAGAAGGAAAATGGAAACAATTAACATATACCTTTGCTATGTTTTCTACAGTGACTGGAACTGAGTTTAAGTAAAAAAAAATTTTTTTTGACACTTCTCCTTGGTTAGCTTACAGATGTTTGCACTGGGGAAAATGTGTACTATCTGCAGAAAGATGAAGGTGTCTTTCATTCATTCATTTAATCAATGTTTACTTAAGACGTCTGTGACCTGTACTGATCTCTGCAAAGATAAACAGAACAGAGCTCTTTCCTTCAAAGAGGAGGGAGTCGGGAAGGAGAGGCAAAGGACAGTGTCACTGCCAAGCCAAATGTGACAAAACATGATGGGGACAATAATGCAACCTTATGGCAAGTGCTGGGGGGCGGGGAAAAGAACTTGGGCTGTTGGTCATAATAGCTGTACTGAGGAGGGTGGGCCCAGTGTGTATCATCACCTTCCTATAGTTCCTAAGATGCACATTTACCTATTTGAAAAATTTTAAATTTGGCCAGAATGCATCTGGAAGGTTGTTTTTTTATACCAGTGATGTCCCTTATAATTAACCTCATCTCTAAATAAAGGAAATATGGTATATACATTGTTCACTAAAAATCAGCAATAAATAAAAGCTGAACACGTGCTCTTTGCTTGGCCTCAGGCTTGGGAGATGTAGGAGGTTTTCATACAAGTAGGTCTTGGTCTTTCTGGTACAAACGTAACTGCCATGGACTACACATAACCCTTCTAAATAAATCCACAGCTGAGTTAATCATTTAAAAAATTCTTTGGACACCACTTGCCTTAATTAGAAAACCCTACAGGGGAAAATCTGTGTTTCCTCAGTTATCAACAGCAGGATAGAGTGGGGCTGGGTCGAGGGTCACCACTAGTGAGGCACCCATCTTGGCCACAAAATTTAAGAGGAGCCAAAAAACTTGTTAATCAGGATAAGTAATATTTTAACACAATATATTGAGAATCAACATTAATGCAAAATGCCCCAAAAAGTTTAAAGAGGATCAAGATTATCGATTTTCTTTCAGTTTGGGGCTCTCATACAGCGTGGCCTGGCACGTGAAGAGAGCTCAGCCACTCTTGTGAAGAACTTCAGAAATGGATGTGTGGTCCGTATCTTTTTAGAGAGTAAAAATGCCAACCAGTTTTGTGTTGTAAGCTCCAAGTCATTCAAAACAAGGACGACTTTGGTGCCCACAGGCCCACGTGTATTGCTTACATAATGGACCAGTGGTGGCAGAAGGAGCTATCTAATTGTCTAGTTCGAATGAATTCATGGAGCCCTTTAAAATGGAGCTCACATCCAATCCCCAGGGATCGAAATGATGTACTCCCTACACAAATGGTTCCTGACATACAATGGTTCAATTTATGATTTTTTGACTTTACAGGTGGAGCGAAAGCAGTGCGCGTTCAGTAGAAACCATACTTCGAATTTGGATCTTTTCCCAGGCTAGTGAGAGGCAGTATGGTGCTCTCTTGTGATGCTGCGCAGGACCGTGGCCCCAGCTCCCAGTCAGCTTGGCAATCACGAGGGCCAACAATCTCCTATACTCATAGCCATTCTGGTTTTCACTTTCAGTACGGTATGCAATAAATTACATAAGATACTCGACACTTTATCATAAAGTGGGCTTTGTGTTAGATGACTTTACCCAACTATAAGCTAATGTAAGTGTTCTGGGCACACTTAAGGTGGGTGACGCTAAGCCTCGATGTTTGGTAGGTTAAGTGTATTAAATGCATTTTTGACTTCAGGTATTTTCAACTCACCCTCAGTTTGTAGGGACATAACCCCTATGCAGGTTGAGGAAGATATATACCATCAAAGCAGTCAGAAGCCATAACTTCGGCCCATCAGTCTTGATAAAAGAGGACTTTGAATTTATATTTTAAGAAAGAATTGGTGGTTTTTATCTTTGGATGCTTTAGTGCCACTTAGCAAAAGAGCTGACAGAGAAGACTTTTGAAGTCATAGCCACAGTCCTAATTTAAGACCAATTTGACATTAATTACAAGGCATTTCTTGCTTATCTGTTGCTCATTACTGCAAATGAGGTCTTTGGCATAAAAAAGAGATTCTGTTTCAAATTTTATTGAATGAGGAGAAATTTGAATAAGTGCACAAGCTGAATTGATGTTATTTGAAATGGGTTGTTTATGTTGACTCAAGAACTGTATTATGAAAATTCAGAGGTTGATAGTGAATGTACTGATTCCGACATCTTATTCTAAGCAGAGTTTCTTGAATTTTCTATTTGGAGAAAGATGCAGCAGATTGACACATGTGGGTTTTCCCAGGACATAAAAAAAAAGTAGTGTCGTGTACAATGTCATTCTGGCTACACCTTTAGAATATGGTTCTGAATGGCAATGTAGTTTCTAGTATTGGATCTTCTTCCTTTAAACAGAAAAGATGACAGGAACCTACACAATTGTTTCTGGCTATTGACCTGTTCGAATATATTTGTTTCAGAGTCAAATCTTCTGGAAATTACTGTTTAAAATGTTTTGCTTTTTAACATAAACATACACTCATATTTTGAAATCAGGCGTTTTCCTAATAGAGCTTATATGTTGAAACACAAAACATCCACACTTTGACACTGGTAAAAAAAAAAAAAAAATGTATGTGGTGGCTACTTTGTAAACTAGACCAGAGGCCTTAAAATTGCATAATAAACCAGCACAGTGGTGGGAATGCTTTCCCTGGAGGGTTCAGATTCTCAAATTATTAGCGTTACATGTTACGAAGAAAACTATTTGTCTAAGGAGAATAAAAAATCGCTGATTTGTAATTTTGCTTGTTTCTTTTCATGAGCTGGAAACAACTGCATTAAGTTGGGTAACATGCAGTTCTCAGCTGTAGGTCTGCAGAGGACCAGAACGCAGCATCTCATGACGTTCAAATATGATCATCACTAACCACTTTTAAAGCAGGTCAGTATATCGACGGGTTAGTTGCATTCATGTTATTCTCCCCTCTCTGTATCCTTTTCCCACTTTATTTTCATTTATTTATTTTTCTTTTCTTCGTCCCAGTTTCAGTTCCAGGAATCATACTTTTTTGAGACTATTATGAAGACATGGCCAGTTTTTCACATACTACGACTATTTGACAGTTACGGTGAGTTTCATTTCACGTGTTTTTGAGTCTGTTAAGATTAAGGCTGGTTCTTAGAATCTATGGTTGTGGTACCTATCTCTCCTTCAGTCTACAGATTTAAAAAATTTTTTTTTTAATTTTTAAGTCATCTTTCTACCCAACGTGGGGCTCGAGCTCAAAACTCTGAGATCAAGAGTCATGTACTCCACCGACTCAGCCAGCCAGGGGCCCCCGTCTACCAATCTTCAATTAATTAATGAGTCTCTCTGCTTTCATCTTTGATCAAAAATATGATTGCTTTTGCCAATAACTTTGCCAACATATCATTTTTCACTTGCAGAGTGTAGCTACATTTTCTGTGTTCTGGTGACACTTTGCCCTTTGAAATTAGGTGTAGAATTGTTTTTTATTTCCTCCATGGTGTTTTGCCTCTCACTCTTTTTTTTTTTTTTTCCCCCTTCTAAGGAAGAATTTTAAAAACTTACTGTGAACTTTCAAATTTCTCTTATTTCAGATTAGGTCTGTGTTAACTGCGATTTTCAACTTTGTATTTTAAGAGCAACTTGCTCATAGGAATTTGTCTTTGGAAGGGTTGGTTCAATCTCTCCTTGGAGAAGAACACTGGATTAAGAATAAAAATCCTGTGTTTTTGGCCATACTCTGTCACTAAATAGATCAGTGACATTGGCCAAATGGCGTGATCTTGTTTATACCTCACTCATTGAAAAATGAGGAGGTTGGGGCAGATAATTTTTAACTAATTTAGAGTCTGGTATACTTCTGACATTCTATGCTTCTACTTTTATTTTTCTGGAATGTGAGAATAAAAGATGTCCCTGTGCATACTGCAACTGTTACCTGTGACTTCTTTCTCAAGCAGATTAATAAATCTAGGCCATTGGCTTGCAATCTTTAACCTTTAGTAGTTTCACCTAGTAATCAACACCCTTGAGTTTACTGAAGACAGTACTGTTAAAACAGGAAGAAGCTGTATTTCTATCTCTGTAAATGTGACTAAGTCAAGCTTTTAAATAACAATCCATTTTTAAGCAGCTGCTGACCAGGTAGGCAACCGCGAAAAAGCTGGAAGGCCAAAGAACAGAAAACCAACCCAGCCACACACCAAGCAGAAACTCCCATGTGTCAGCAGCAGGCACAAGCATCCTTCAGCCCTCTTTGAAAAGATGTCACCACGTGCATGGGGAGGTACACCAATGCCTGAGGCAAACACGATGCCTGGCCAGTGCTGTGTTAAAGTCCCCTACCTTGCAGCCTTCACACGTGATCACTCCGTAGTGGATCCCGGAGGACTTATCGCCACAAATTTTGCATGGTATCACTTCAATTTGTGCTGAAATGGGAAAAGAGACATTTTGAGTTTCATCCTTTTGCTCTCCTGTCTCCCTCCCCTCCTCTTCCCAGCATGACCTTAGGATTTGAGGACACTGGGGTGGGGTCGCCCACCACTACCGGAGAGAAAGGGCAGCCATCTACCACCGTTTGCTTTGTTTTTCTAAAACTGAAATATATAAGCAGGAATCAGAAGTTTTCTAAACTTAGTTCACTGCTTCCTCTTTTTTAAGCTTGACCTGGTTATTAAGTTGACTCAAAAATCCCTTGAACCTGTGGCTTTGGTTTTCTTATTTTGCACTTCAAACACGAGGTCACTGAGAGCTATCCCATGCCTCATTTCAACAGCATTTTAAATAAGTAAATAAAGCAAAACTGGAAGGGATGGCGGCTTTATACATGATGTGACTGGATGTTTACAGTGAAAATGTCAACGGTGACAATATTTATTGATCATACTCCACATGACCACGAAACTAATAAAAGTTATCAACACAAGATATGATAAATTAAGGACACAAATAATTTCACTAATACAACAAAATTAATCCATGGAGAAATCAGGGGAAAATGATAAAAACAGGTGGCTACTATGACTTTAACACAAACAAAGTAATTTCATGGGGTTGAAGACATCTGGGCCAAGTTTGAAGATTGTGTACGATGAGGTTAGGCGGATGTGAAGGGCAAAGGGCATTTCTGCCAGCAGAATGGAACAGAAGAGGTCTGGAGTGACAATGGCTCATGATCATTGGGACAGACAACTCAGCTCTACTGGAAACGTGGGCCATGTGGTTGGGTAGAGGGAGTGATATGAGATTATGGAGCTCCTGGGAGTTAGTAGAGGAATTTTCACCTGATGCCACTGGCCATAAGGATTCAAGGAAGGGAATAAGGTGAAGACATGTTGGAAGTGGTGGTTTGGGTCCCTTAGAAGGATGGGTTCAGCCAGCTGAACAAAATGAAGCAGAAGACCAATTCAAAGGCTATTCCAAAGCTGGTGTTAGGAGATCAAAGTATGGATTACATCAGTGGCAGGAGAAAGGGAAAGGAAGAAGCAAATAGGAATTTCAATCAGGATCAACAAAAGAAAGGACACAGAGGTGGAGATGGATGGAGAATCAAAGGTGACTTCAGCTTCACCCTTGAGGGTCAGGTTCAACAGCAGGTTTGACACAAATGGGGCTGCTGGTAAGGCAACTACTTTGTGGAATGTGGCGGGGCATGGGATTTCCAACTTGCCTGTGTGCACGGGTAGGCACCTGTAGATGGAAACTTTTGGAAAGATGATCTTAAGTCATCAGCATTGAGGTTATGGATGAATCCATGAGATAAACTTTATTTAGAATATAGTAATTCCTATGTCTCTGGTAGTATTCTAAGTGCTGTTAAAATTGTACACACCAGGAAGAGCTGCTATTCCTGTTCCCAATTTAAAATAATTATGCAAAATATGCCTCAAAATGCTTTGTACATCAATCTGCCGTTTGGATGCTTTTCTACAGTTTCTCACCCTGGAATATACAAAACAGATAAATGTAAGACATAACCCTCTTTCTCTTATTGTTTTGCATTTTTTAAAAAGAGAATACTTAGCTTTAGGAGAGTGTATTCAATTTTTTGAAACCAAGTATTTCATGGTAAGTTCAAGTCATCTTTATGAGCAAAAAATTCGGCATTATGGCCCTATTTTTCATATGAGAAAACTGAGGATTGAAGTGGTTAATGATGCCCTCGAGCTGGTTTGGGAGACGGCAACTAGAAATTAGCCAGCTTTCCCAGTACTTTGTTCAGTAACCCTTTCCCTGCCTACCTCACGGTTCGGATATGAATGCAATTTTGAATTCCTATATTAGTCCAATAGCACCAGCCAAAGAGATAATGATAAAAACATCAGGAGATGAGACAAAGTCAACTAAAATAGTTATTAGCCTAAGTATTTATATTAGTTCTGTTCCTTTAGCTTTCAAATGAGATGAACTGGTAATTGTTTTCAAGGTTTTGTGATGGGGGAAAAATGTGAGATTTGATGTAACTCTATTCTCTTTTCCTGGATTCCTGTCCTTAATCTGTTAGTGATTGGGTCCACGGCCAAGACCAAATTCATGTTCTTTGGTTTATCAAGTTTAGCTGACAAACGTCATAGATCAGTGAGGATTAAATGAGATATTTTATGTGAAGTGCCTTGCAAAGAGTAAAGAACTACAAAATGTCTTCATCAGCATCAGAATTACTGTTAGCTGGTATTTCTAATGCTATTGGACAAGAATTATGACAGACCACGTTATTATTCCTCTATTAAAAAAATCTTATTTAAGGAACTCAAAAGAGTGACACTATACATTGTTTGTACTTTTTTTTTTTTTTTAGTGATAACCTTTCAAACAGGGGACTCTTTATAATGATTACAAAACTGACTAAAAATAACAGGTATCCACTGTACAATTGTTAGGCGTCTATGATATTAAGTCAGAGGCACTCTTTGCATAAATTACTCCCCAGGGAGTAACTTACACGTGGGGAGAATCTGCTTCAATAAGTTCTTAATTATAAAATGATCTAACTCTAAAGGAAATGAAAATAGAGGTAATTTGCCCCCCAGGGTGTGAGAAGATGTTTTTGAAAGCCACAAAGGTTATCTTATACAACTTGGAAAATACAAATGGGAGAAGGAGTGATTCGATAGAGCATCTGCATATTTATACATATTTATTATCCCAGTTCAACGTGTAATCCTGAAGAACCATAAACATTTTAACAGTATTTTTAAAGAGAAAGAAGAGGGTATATGTGTGTTGCTATGTGTGGGAAGGGATTATCAGTTTGGAAAACCTAGGACCGTTTTTACCTATCATGGCAGAACAGGTCATCTGAGGCGTATTATAGGTAAAGATAAATTTAAATAATTTAAAGGACTAATTCTATTCTTTTGCCTTCATTTAAAATAAACTGCTTCTGTGCTACAACATCACAACTCGTACTGTGTATTTTATAAAGCGTGTCTTGCAGTGAACGCAGATCTGCGGACATGCTATTTATCACGGGTCCAAGCTGAACGTCCAGGGAGGATGTGCTGGCTTGGACCATACCAGCTGTGACAGTGAAGGCGCTCTAAGGTAACTGAAGGGGGAGTTCAACTGTCCTGCTTTTGTGTGACTCGAGGATTAATTCAACAATAGTGTTTTCTGAGAGACAAACACAGAGGAATGTTTGAGATGCCCTGAGAGACAGCTTGAGATGTGCTCATTTCACAGTTTCCCCATTTCTTTTTTTTTTTTTTAAAGATTTTATTTATTTGACAGAGATCATAAGTAGGCAGAGAGGCAGGCAGAGAGAAAGAGGGGGAAACAGGCTCCCTGCTGAGCAGAGAGCCTGATGTGGGGCTCAATCCCAGGACCCTGGGATCATGACCTGAGCTGAAGGCAGAGGCTTTAATCCACTGAGCCACCCAGGTGCCCCAGTTTCCCCATTTCTTACATCTTCTGCTCACTTCCATTTTCCTACTGGCAATCCTCTGTGGAGACTTAAGTTAAAATTTTATTTACCAACTAGATCTTTTTGTTTATAAAAGCAATCCTAGATAGTATTTCGGAAATGATATTTGTACAATATCAAAGAATATCATGAAAGATTTGAAAGAATTTGATGTTTTACCTTATATAAGATCACATTAGGAAGTACAATTAGTTTAATACCCCCTGATTTGGCAGGCTGGTCCTATTCAACAACTATCAACTAGTCACAGTTGGTCTCTTCTTTGAAGATGGCAGTTCTCTCTTCTCCCCCCCTTCCCCCGGTACCTCCTAAAGGCTCTCCCTTGCTTAGAGCCCCTTACTACAGCATCGCACGAAGTCACCGTGTGTTCAGTGCTTCCTGATGATCAAAATGTACGTGTCTTTTGTTCTGCTCCCTCAGAACCCCCCCGCTGCTGAAGGCAGGTGTGAAGTTAGATTAACTAATCCAAGCGAATGCATGCACTAGGAAATGCATCACTTTGATGCATCAAAATACCTTCATTCTTAAAAGAATCCACCAGGCACGGTAGTAGTAGTGGACTGTCGGGTACTGTCTGGTTGAAGGAAACTGAGTATGTTCTTGCGGCACTCAGTTCCCCACTCCAACTCCTACAACTCAACCTGGCCATTTTTATCGTCAGGGCATTTTAAGTCCATGGAGGAGAGTGTCCAGGTTAAAAAAAAAAAAATCTCTCTCTCTCTCTCTATATATATATATATTTATTTGACAGAGAGGGAGAGAGAGCACAAGTAGGGGGAATGACAGGCAGAGGGAGAGGGAGAACCAGGGTCCCTGCTCAGCAGAGAGCTCGACATGGGGCTTGATCCCAGAACCCTAGGATCAGGACGTGAGCCAAAGGCAGATGCTTAACTGACTGAGTCACCCAGGTGCCTCAGGACTTTTTAAAAAAAAATTTTCTACTGAGACCAAAGATCATTTGTGTAAGTCCTAAAAGCAGTAGTCCTAATTTTCTTTCTTTCAGTACGACCAAGAGATTCCACATATTCCCTTTTATAAAATAAAAGGCTTTAAGCAGGGGTGCCTGGATGGCTCAGTTGGTTAGGTATTTGCCTTCAGCTTGGGTCATGATCTCAGGATCCAGGGATCAAACCCCACATCGGCTCCCTGCTCAGTGGAGAGTCTGCTCTCCTTCTCTCTTTCTCTCTCTCTCACATAAATAAAATCTTAAAAAAAAAAAAAAAAAGGCTTTAAGCAATACAGATTTCCCATGTTTGAAGAGAAGTAATCAGAATCTTGTGATTGGGGTGGATCTATATTTTGGAATAGATCCGCAAGTGATTCTGCTACTGTAAGGCTCCCTCCCATTGAGGATTAAATGAATCAATCTGTGAACTAGGAATTCTCTGTAGCATGTGAACCACCTGCAAAGGAAATAAAGCCCAGGGACAAGCCTATAATCTGAAATTACTAAGGAGTGACCAAGAAGTTTCTATTTGTTTGCTGACCTTTGGTTTGGGGTATATTATTAGTATCTTTTGTTTTCTGCCTTTTTTCTTTTTCTTTTTAAAAAGATTTATTCATTTATTTGAGGGGGGCTGGGGCAGAGAGAGAGGGAGAATCTCAAGCAGACGACCCACTG